ATTGCTGAAGAAAACATTTTAATGAACTGTTTAAAATTTGAATATATTACTTTTTAGATTTCCTAAAGATACAATTAACAGTGTTTTATCCCTGTAATGCTTGCTGTATCCTATTTGATACACAATTTCTAAGTCCTCTAAATGATCAACATGATCAAAATTGCTGTTAAAGCTATTTCACTCAATCTACTGCATGCCTTCTGTTGTCTGGCTGATTTAGCAAGTAAAAGACCTTTTAGTGTAATTGTACAAACATACACCTTCAGCTCATGCTTCACTGCACTTTGTGTTATGAAATCTGAGATTCGTATAAAGTAAACATAAGAATAACTTTGATATTGTTAGTATAACATTTCAAGATAAACACTTAATAGACTGAAGCAACTTAGGTTTATCCAGACATCATAATGTGAATATTAAATATGATCATCAGGCTTTTGAGGAACATTTATTTGTTCATCTTTCAATCATCACTGCATTGCACTGCAATATATGCTAAAGGGGTCATATGATGCGATTTCAATTTTTCCTTTCTCTTTGGAGTGTTACAGCATTTGAATGTCATCTTACTAAGGCATATTATTGGGAGATATAGAGTGACAAATGATATTTTATGCAAGTAGTCCACAATCTCACTGATTTACATTAAAACTATCAGAATTATCATCTTACTTTTTTGTCCATGTAAATATCAGTATCTGCACCAAATTTCATAATTTTGCTCAGTTTTTTTTGTCTAAAGGTTCAATAAACTGTTCCATTAAAAAATATCAGAATATTATTTCATATATCAGGCTTTACAGGGTTAAAAATTTATTTAATTCAGCATTTAAGTGCCTAAAGCAGCCGTAAAACATTCAAATCAAAGACTAAGAGCACTACAGAGTATTTGTTTTAGCATCCTATTACCAGAAATGGAATCACATTGGCTGCAAAGCTACCAAAAAAATAACCTTGTTGTTCACTCAAGGCCAAATACATACACTGAGCCCTGAACATCTGATATAAACACACAAAGACGCAAAGCTACTTAATCTAATGCACAGCGTATAGCAGAAATAATATTTAAATCTAATCCTCAGAAATGCATGAAGGCAAGTGCATGGCATGCTGTGGAACCTCAGAGGACCCAAAAGCAGTGAATGGAAAAATCTAGAAGGGTACAGGAGAGGAAATCAGTGAGAAAGAGAGAGACAATATAAAAAGAAAGAAAGAAAAAAAACAACAACAAAGGAGATGATGCAAGATTAACAGTATTGAAGAATGGATGCATGTGGCAGTGAAATGTTGTCTGCGGAATCAAGAAATGCCAGCAAAGCCGGGCGGATGAAAGTGTGGAGAGGATGTGGAGGGTGTGAAGAGGGAGGAAGGTGTTACGTGGCTCTCGGAGGAATCGTACACAGCAAGGCCACAGATGCAGACGTCTGGTCTGACTGACTCCTGATGTTTCCATGGCACCCGCGAATGAAAAGCTCAGCACTCCCAAGATGAGCAGCAGCTCTCAAGACACACAAACCTGAACGCTTTTCCTGACTCTACAACTGCAGTGAGCATTTACCCAAACAAAGAACAACACAGCGCAACTGATTCTGATTTCTGTCTGCAAACATAGCGGTCATGTCATTTTGGACGCAAAATCCCTAGTATTTTCATTGAACATGTCTAAAATAAAAAAAATAATAAAATAAACATAATAAACATAAATGTACAATTTTATAAATATACATATATATGTGTGTAAAAAAACATACATATTTGTATCTCTGTTTTATGATGTGAGTATAATAAAACAATGAATATGAATATACTTTTGATAATGCCTCTTATGCTCACAAAGGCTACATTTATTGGATAAAAAAATACACTAAAAACTGTAATATTGTGAAATAATATTACAATTTAAAATAACTGCTTTCTATATGAATGTTGTTAAAATGTAACTTATTTCTGTGATCAAAGCTGTATTTTCAGCATCATTACTGCAGTCTTCAGTGTCACATGATCTTCAGAAATCATTCTAATATGCTGATTTGCTGCTCGAGAAACATTTCTGATTATTATCAATGTTGAAAGCAGTTGTGCTGCTTCATATTTTTGTAGACTTTTGATGAATGGATAGTTCGAAGGCAGTATTTGTTTGAAATATAAATATTTTTGTAACATTTGATAATTTTTTGTCACTTTTGATCAATTTAATGCAACATTGCATTCATTTTATTGTGCACTCTCCTATGTACCATGTCAACTACATGAGATATGAACATGCTAATCATTCAGTACCATAGTATCATCATTTGACACCACCACTGTACCTCTTGTTGGTGCTCTTAAAATACATTTAATACATGTTAAAGTGTTTAAGACTAGACCATATGAGGCGTTATATAACAGTTTTTTTTTTCCTTCAGGTATCAATGACAATATCCTCTGCTTTCAAAGTCAATGCTAATGCTAATTAGCTTCATAATACGGATTGGGCCGAGCAGACACAATGCAAGTGTAGCCAGACTGTGCCGTTTACTAATTGAGCTAACATGGATTAGCAACTGCGGTCATGCCGAGAGGACGATTATAAATCGCCAGGAACAAAAGCGGCTCTAGCCAGAGAGATGTCACCAGAGCCCAGCAGGTACGGACAGCTAATTAGCTTGCTGACTAAACACAATTTATCAGGGCTTGACAACATTAGCAGCAACGCTAATAAACAAACTACAGCTATAAACACACCAGAGGGACGAATCTCTTAAGTGGAACTGAGATTAGCCATTATTCACAGTGAGAGCCAGGGGCACACAAGAGCAATGACTCCGACAGAGGTGAACTTCCCACATTCCACTGCCATGACAGAATCATGATGCTTTTCCTGGATGATTCCTTGAGGAAAAATACATTTATTTAGCATGAGGTGGTCCGAAACTGGTGAGTCGAACTGAAAAATCGTTACAAACGCTGACCAACGCTGTTAGTCACACAGACTCACTGTCAATTTGGCATCAGATGAAGGGAAATTATAGGAAGAGGTAATGATTAGTGATGCACCATAACTAAAGTTTCCATTTAGCTGAAAACCGAAACCAAAAAAAAAATATTTAATAATCAAATAATTACTCTTATTTATTTAATAATAATAAACACTCAAAAAAAAAACAAGTTGTATATAAGCTTCTAAAATGCACATAAGGCACTTTTTAATGATATAATTATGTTTCTACTACAATCTATAAACATTTAAATGGTGTCTGTAATAAAAGACAACAGGTTAATTACATATATAATGAATATGTAATGTAGTGCAAATATTAGCAAAATGCTTTCTCTTATTTCTTCTAGCTAACTACCGAGTTAATGGACAATGAATGGCTTTCCTGGGGTAAATGTATACAGTTACGTGGCGTATTGTTTACAAGCTGTTTTACTGACATCTTTGAAACGCATTCTTTCATGACACATTAAAGAACATCAAAACTGCACTTATTGTTTGAATTTTATTATAATATTGAATGAATTTGAGAACCCAGACGGTGTTTCACATCAAAAGTAGTAAAGCACAAAGACTATTGCGACTATTGGATAACAGGCACACTAATGCTTAGTGAAGTCTTGTTCACACTGAAAACAGCATAAACTGAAAGATCTTGGTTCATCAAAATGAGGATCGATTGAAATCGCAAAATCATTTCAGTCAATGATTTCAGCAAAACTCAAATTCATTTCCAGTCAAATAGTTTTGATTGTTGTAATTTCAATGCATCACTAGATATATAAGTACAATAGCAGACTCAACATTCCTGGCCATTCCCAAGCTTCGTGAAATGAAATCAATACACATCCAGATGTGATAACCACTAGGGTTGGGCCGATAGACGATGTCATCGTCCATCGCCGATGGCTGATAGACATCACAATGTTGAGCCGGCATCGCGATCCCCATCCCCCCTCTCCCTCCCAACCCTAAAGGGAATAAATAAGCGATGGGAGGAAAATATATATTTCAGTATTTTCTCTCGCAGTTATATCATTGGGCAATTATACTGTATATAAATTGCGGGCATCAGGGAGCCGCTATTATGCCTGGCATTGAAACTGCTTTTGACTGCGCGATCGTTTTTTAGTTTCACTTTCACTTTCGAGATTCGCGATCGCATGTACTCTGTTTATACTATGGAGCGGCAGTACTTACCACACATTTTACAAGATTATATGTTTGTCAGTGGTGCTCAGGATCTGCAAATTATTCGCCATCATCCTCAGTCATCTCCCCTTACTCTGTTTATGTGGTAAGTTAAATTTTATGTACTGTAATGTAACAGACAACCGTTAACAATTGTTATTTGTTTTCCGTACCTTTCTAAATAAGGATTCGCGCTTCGGGCACACCCCATAACCCCCCCATACTGATGTCATCGTCCATCGCGATGTTTCACTGTACACATCGTCCGATGCCAATTTGGTAGACATCGCCTAACCCTAATAACCACTATAACAAGTCAGAAAAACAGAGGCCCAACAGCGAGGCGTATAACACTCTTCCTCTCTTTGATCTGGAATAAATGTGGAATACTTTTATATCTACATTATCATGAACACTGCCTCTCGTTATTTAAAATAATTGTTGATTTTGTTTTGTTTTGGGGGGGGGGGGTTTTGATGTCAAAACGTAAACAGACATGAATAAGCCACATTCAATAAGCCACCAAAATACCAGTTACACATCTGTCAAGTCAAATTGGGGTCATAGTCAAAGCTTTACTAGCTCAAACTGTTTATAAACCCAAAAAGAGCATGCTTAAAATGATTAATTCAGTTATATAAGACCTCATTGTTACATTTTTGATTCAGCAAATGACACAAGTCTCAGAAATAAAAGTCAAAATATCTTAATGGTTTTGGCATCGTTTTCGGTTCATTCATCACATTAGAAATTAAAGTTCAGGTTGAGTACATTAGAGATCAGCGTCTCCACTAAAAAAAGTAAACATTAATGCAGACTTATGACATACCCTGTCTTTGTCGTCGGCCACATCACACAGCACGTCATCCAGGTCCAAAATGCCTCCATCTCCATGTTCTAACCGATTCACCTGTATCCAGTAGCCTGGGTCCTAAGAGAGGAGAAGTGAACAGACAGAGTTACAATGAGGCGAATTGTGTCACATTTTGACAAACAGACATTCAAATGTAGATCACTATCTTAAAATATCCATAACTTCTTGTCAGTAAAAGGCGAAAGTAAAGAAACTGTCAGGGTTCCTGTCAAGATGCTACATAGAACAACCAGAGAAGACTGAGAAATATTTAGTACAGTATTGAATGAAATACAGGGCTTATTTAACTAAGTATCAATACAAACAAAGTTATTCAGCCATCAATATCACACCGCTACTGTCTGAGTATTCGAATAACATCACCAGCCAGTATTTGTATTATTTCTCTGTACTTGACTGTGTGTCCTGACTGAACTCGGCTCATCTGAACCGCTGTAATCTCATAACTGGGCACAGCTGAACGACCCACAGACAGCTTGGCATCCACAGACCCTGGAAGAGCTTCAAAGCACTGATGACGAAGATGAAAATGGGGAAAATTGGGGTCGCACACTGATGGAATGCAAATCTCTGCCGACCACGTTACTGACTGCCAGTTTATGAGTGATTTCCAGCTTTATGTGCCTTCTCATCTCTCTATCGGTCTACAGTATCTCTTTTTTCATCCATAATCTGATGCATTTCCAAGTAAAACCGGATATTGTGTCAGAAAAAAAAATCATAATTTTTGGCATTACATGATTTAATCCATAGAGAACTAACTGGATCATGGAGTGTCTCTATAGTATACATCAAATGTTTGAAGGGGGTTCCTTCCTAGTGACATCAGGCAAGAAGAAAAGACATTTTAGATGCAGAGCAAGATGGGAAACTTTGATAATCAATTCCAAAGACTTGGAACTACTAACTTCTTGTATAGATGCATAGATATATTGTGCACAATAAGATCAGGAACATGTATTAAGAAAGCAAATAAATAGGTATTTTAATGTAAAATTACTTTAAAAATAGTGAAAACGAGCATGAACAATTAAATATCCAATAGCAGCCAATATTGCTAAATTATTGCAATATTAGTATTTCTCCAAAAGAACGATAATGATCAATGTAAATACTCAGCATTGAAAAAAGTATATTCTAGCAATATTCAAAAATTTAAAGAAAATTTATCCATCCTAATACTTCATCCACAAAAAAGAAAATCTGCTAAACTTAAATGTGAACCCATTCATGGAACATTATCTGAAACAAATGTCAACAAGTTCATCCAATTTTTAACAGAGTTAATCTGGAAGACATTTTCTGGCCACAAACCCAGAACAAGATTCAGCAAATATTTGAACAAATTCGCTGCAGAGACGACATGCGCCGCTGGCCAGCGTTTCATACTCCCACATTCACCAGGGTCGTTAAAAACCCAGCGACTAACATGCGGATTTAAGATCAATGCACCCGATAATCACCAAAAGATGGATGGAAATGGAGATGAAATGAGGGGGAAAGGCGTGTTGTCCAGTGTGGAGGGATGTCTGGGCATAATTATTGATGAAGGAGGGTTTGCAGGGATAGACCAAGCCTCGCATGCTTGATTTATGAACAGAACTGTGTGCGAAGAGAAAAGAAGACATTGTCCCTCTCCAGTGCGAGGCAGGGATGTTCAAGATGAAGAATGAAAAATGAAAGCATGAAGGGCAAAGGAAAGATAAATGAAGCAGGAGTGGTACTTTGCCTACATCACTTTGGTACATTACAGCAGCGTTGGGTGGATGTAATGCATTTAAGTTATGTTTTAATGTGTTACAATAAAGGAGTTACAAGTAACACTTTTTGTAACTCAACTGGTAGAGCGTGGCACCACCAAGGCCAATGGCATGGGTTTAATTTCTGGAAAACACACATGCTAATAATACAGTACGTACACATTTAAGTTGCTTTAGAAGATTCTGTAAGTTGAACAAATGTAACAAAGTTTTTTGAGGTAATGTGTTACAGTTAGCATTATCAGCCGCTCGTGTCAAAAGAGGAGGTTGTTGTGTCTGAGACGTGATGATGGATGAAGAAAACATCACAGAATGATGTGAGATTTCAGTAGAAAGGGATGCTAATGCATTTAGGTTGTGTTACAACAGAGGGAGGTTACAAGTAACGCTATTGTTATTTAGTTAACTGGTAGACATGGGTACAGATCCCTGGACACACACATGCTCAATTTAGATAATAGTTTCTGCCAAATAAATAAATGTTACATGAATGTTTATGTAATGTGTTACAGTTAGCATGCGTCTATCAACAGCCTCTCATGTGTCCCAAGATGAGGTATAAAAAACATCCTCTTTTTTTTTTTTTTCAAGCAGATTAACTGGTAAAACTTGGCACCATCACCACCATTGACATGGGTTCAAATATCAGGAAAAACACTTGCTGATAAAACATACACATTTAGGTCAGTTTCTGCCAAATGAATAAATGTAACTGTTTTTTTAGGTAATGTGTTACAGCTAGCATGCATTTATTACCAATCACTCGTGGCAAAAGTGGAGGTTACAATGCCAGAGACATGATGACGGATGCAGAAAAACATTTCAGGATGGTGTGAGACTAAAGTAGAAAGGGACATCAATGCATTTAATGAGGCTTAGTATGTTTTACTCCAGTTTGGTGGTTGCCAATTGTTAATTTTGGACCACGTGTCAGTAAATGAATTACATGAAATGAAAGTAAATTAAAGTAATGCATGCTAATCGTAATGCCTTACTTTAAAAGGAAACATTATATTGTCATTCTTTTGTCATTTATTCATACATTCAAATGTATGTTTTATCAGCATGTGTTTTTCCTGAGAATTGAACCCTTGTCATTGGTGTTGGTGGTGCCACGCTCTACCATTTGAGTTACATGAACTAGAAACAATAGTGTTTCTTTTATTGTAACAAATTAAAATGTTACTTGAATGCATTGGTGTCCCTGTCTACTCTGATCACACATCATTCTGGACTGTTATCTCCATCCATCTTCACATCTCTGGCGCGCCATCCTCCTCTTGGGATACATGAGTGGCTAATAATAGATGCATGTTAACTGTAACTCATTACTTAAAAAACATTAATGTAACATTCATTTATTTGGCAGAAACTTCTGTCCAAAGTAGGGGTTGCACCGACTAATCGACTTCAATGCTCTGCCATGACACTTTAAGCTTGACGTCGACTAGTCGCTGGTCCTATAGAGGGCACAACAGGATAAGAAATCTTTGAAGGACTTCAACATTTACGCTCCGTTTCCAAACAGTTAAAATGACAAATAGCCATAGCTGTGCACGGTGTTTATCACAGCTCCAGACTTATTTGTTCATTAATGACGTCAGCGACTAGTCGACTTCGACTCAACTTTTATGAGATGAAAGACTTTTAAAAAAAAATCAGAAGTCAACCCCTAGTCCAAAGTGACTTAAAGTTGTACGTTTTATTAGCATGTTTGTTTCCTGGGATTTGAGCCCATATCATTGGTATTGGCTGTGCCATGCTTTAACAGTAATGCTATGTAAAACTAAAAAAAGAAAAAGTGTTACTTGTAACCCCCTCATTCTAACAGATTACTTAAAACAATGAATTTATCGGCATAATCTTTTTTTTAAATAATCCTAAAACAAAAAGGAGTGAAACAGGTTTGTAAAAACATCTAAAACACTACCAAATCATGTGGTTTGTGCAGAAACTTGCTGTGGGGAATAAAAGAGAGGGAGATGCTGGATGTAAAGAGCTTTTTATGACAAGACAAAGATTGTAAAATGTCATTAAACGTTTCTCTTTATCTTTGACACTGTTGTTTAACCACTGTTGCTAAAAATAACACTACCAAAAGGAAAATATGAGGAACAAAAGAACAATGGGTCTGAAATCTCTAGATGTTTCAGTGACAGGTGAAGCTTGTGTAAGAAACTCGCTCTATGAGATATGATGACCTGCGAGCCATGCTTAAAGCTCCATTCAAATACAACAATTATTAATATAACACTTTTATAAGCAACATTCCTCTTCACTGACACACACACTGAACAAACATTCCTTTGTCCACCGTAAACGCATCTATTATCAGCCGCTCACGTGTCCCAAGAGGAGGTCAGAGACGTGAAGATGGATGGAGATAACATTCCAGGATGGTGTGAGATCAGAGCACATCATTTATGACTCGATGAAGTAATACAAGCAGGTCTGAATCACAACACCAAACAAATCCAGGCTTCAACTAAACCAACTAAGAGCAGCTAAGACCTCATCCATCTCCATCCGAGGGGAGGAAAGTGTGAATCAAAAAAAGAAAGAGAAACAATGTTCACAACCAGCTGCAGAGCTTGTTCAAATATTGTTCTTTTCATGAGTGCCGTCCCAATGATTTCATTTTTTCTTTCAGATGCGGATGAGCTCTAAGCAATCGTAAGTTCAGAAGATACCCGCAGACAGCCGCTGCATTCTCCAACCCGCAACCTTTTCACCAAGGAAGTGAATGACACAATAGAGATGAACGCTCTATGAAAGCATTTTAGCTCAACAAAGTACAGGATCTTTACAAATCCTTCCAGAACTAACCACAAGCTTTATCTTTGCAAAATCAGGGTGGTTGGGCGACATGTCATGACACTTTCGATGGCTGTAAAGCACCTACTGTATCAAAGACCTATTGTGAAGAGCACACCCGAGGCAAGAGCCATGCAAGAGAGACGCTTTATCCCGGGAAAAGTGTAAATATAGCCTGCTAGTGTAAATATAGGCTACCTTTTTTTTTTTTTTTTAAACTGCATGCCTGATGAGCTTGGAAAATGTAATAAATATCTAAAGTGGGTTTCAAAAGGTTTTTTTTTTTTTCATGTTAACCTGAAAATTAACAAAGTAATTAAAAAAACAAGTATTTAAAAAAATATATAGTAATTTTAATCATTATTACAGAAATATATTTTTAAATTTTGACAAAAAAAGAAATATTTACTTTTATTTCTTTTTTTAATTCAGCAATTTGTAATTTGTAATGAAACAAATCTAAATGTTAAAAATAAAAAACAA